ACCACCGGGTTCAGGGATTGCCACCACGACAGGCACCGGAGACCTTACGGCCACAGCTCCGAATAGCCGCATCGACAATGGAGGTGGAGAATATGGTCCACTCTGACTCAATATCTCCAGCCTCCCCCGGGATCTGGTCAAAGCTCTGCTGGAGGCGGGAGTTGAAGATCTCTCTGACAGGGGATTCTGCTAAACGTTCCCAACAGACCCTCACAATACGTTTGGGTCTGCCGAGTCTGTCCAGCTTCCTCCCCCGCCATCAGATCCAGCTCACCACCAGGTGGTGATCAGTTGACAGCTCCGCCCCTCTCTTCACCCGAGTGTCCAAGACATACAGCCGGAGGTCAGATAAAACAACCACAAAGTCGATCATTGACCTCCGGCCTAGGGTATCCTGGTGCCATGTGCACTGATGGACATCCTTATGCTTGAACATGGTGTTCGTTATGGACAAACTGTGGCTAGCACAGAAGTCCAATAACGTTATTGGACTTTTGACACTACAGACTTTCATTATAGCAATAATATAGTTCAATATTTCTCATCATGTTTGGTTTTGCAGATTAATACTTTTTTATATACTGAGTTCACTGTGAGGTATGATATAGGTGGCAGTGGCTCAGGTGGTAGAGTGGTTCAGCGGTAGGGTCGGCCGTTTGATCCCTGGCTTCTCAAGTCCACATGAGGACGTGTCTTAGGGCAAGACACTGAACCCCAAGTTATCACTGGTATGTGAGTGTTTGTGTGTGTGAGTGGGTAAATGGGCTGGTGCAAGTGTTTTGAATGTGCTTCCTGGCATAGAAAAGGGTGACATAAGTACAGTATAAGACCATTTGATAACCTGAATAAGTAGCTCCAGAGAGGGTCATGTGTGCAGCCCAAGTGGCCATGATAAAGCAGATTGCCTTAAAGTGAACAAACAGCATTTGTCTATTCAACTCGTGGAAGGGGTTAAGACTCACTGTATGGACATCCATATGCCTCCAGCCGGAGCCCAATCCTCCCAGTGGGGTTCCAGTTCAGAGGAAAGAGGCGAAGGAAGCGAGTGATCACAGGCTGCTGCAGCTTGTACTGAACCACACTGTCTGCATTACTGTTGCCTGGAAAAAACTGAAAGCACAGAAACAAGAACTGTTTAACTACACATTCATTTTATACAAAACGTTGTCAGATTTGAATAAAGGCTATGTTCTTATGACTAACCAACAACTTTATGACTAAACTACAACTTGCAGTACTTCCTGTGCATTCCAGTATAAAAGAAACCAGGGCCACGGTGATCACGACATGTGTAGTAACCACTAGTCTAGGTAGGAAATCACAGAAATTACAGTTTATGATGAATTCTGAGACATTTCATTTATATCATGAGGTGCTACAGGAAAAGTGGGAAGATCACAATCATCTTCTCTGGACCATGAAGGTATACGATGTCATCACAGTCCATAAAATTGTTGTGACTATAAATATCAACATTAACAGTGACTTTAAAAAAAAATCTGGAGTATGAACACGAAACTTGATCGTCTGTCTCTTTCTGACTCTGGGCTGAATGCCTGATAGGTCACTCTGTTCATCTCCTTCCACCTCTCCCATCTGACTATCTATCCTAATTACACCCCTGCCTTGAAGTTGACATGCAGGCTAACTGGTTTTCCCACCGCTGGATTAAAGCTTAGACATGTAATTAACTTATTAATTCCTCAGTAATCATGAGCTGGATCTCCTCATATGATGAAGGGAGATGTGTTTGTATATATTATGTCTGACTTCTGGATCAAATTCACTGCTGGTTACACAGACACCACACACAGCAACATATTGTTCTACTATCTACAACATACTGTATAGTGAGCTCACACTGGATGTTGCATATACTGTAAGTTAGGCAACAACACAGTTTGTAAAAGTTTATTCAGTTTTTAGCATTTTTTTAATAAAAAGGTGAGATAGAAATAGAAGAAATAGCTATAGTGATACAGCTATATAATTTCTCTCCCTAGTTGTCTACTTCCAAAGTTTTAAAAGAGAGAGAGATGGAAAAAATATAAGAAGAGAAAAAAATCCCATCGCATTTCAGCTCTTTAAGCTGAAAGCAAAAGCCAGCGGGAAATACGTTGTGGTTGATTCAGCAGCATTCTGCCATCAGCTTCCTCCTCTGACAACCTCTAAGCTGAGCTGTCCAGAAATGTGGCTGAGATTGGGCATAGTCTAAGTAACATGTGAGAGCAACATGTTGAGCAGCCGTTCTCTGCTCTCACTTCTGTGAGATGCTGAGATTGGCAGGATTCTCTCCATATGAGGAAACTTCCTCAGCTCCACTTCTAGCCAAAGCTCCTCTCTGGAGTACTGTGACAAATGTGGCTTTACCCTGGATAGATGTCCAAGTTTAAAATGGCTTAATATATGCCATATTTTAACATGTTTGTTTACCATTTAAAGGAAGCAGAAGTCTGGATAGTTATCTGGTGAGCTTTCTGAAATGTTTGGTGAGTTATTTTAAAAGCCTGGTGGCCAGAACAGCAGTTAGTTAACAGTTAGCCTGAATGAGCCTGAATGATGAAGAGAGTCGATTAAGGGCTGTGTTGGGTGTGTGGGTGCAGGCAAAGAAGTGGAGTGGTACTGTTGAGCCTTCTCGATGTTGTGGGCCCAACTCAGTGAAACACCAGTTAGTGAGAAGGCACCCACCCAATGACCCTGTAGACTTGCCTTCACTCCTACACCCACACAGAACTTGTACTGGTGTTGGTGATAGTTACTGACTCACTGGGGTTGTTAGTAGTGTACTGTTGTTTTGTTTGACAACAGTGTCAGCGGTTTGACAACTGAGCAGACCCGGATCTCAGAGATGACTGCCATTGCCAGCCAGTTGGGCCAGCCACTGCTTAACCTGAACAAATACAAGGCAGATGCTCTGTGATAAGCCACACATTTAGGTTGTAAAACAAAATCTGGACGAGTTTGTTTTACAACCAAATTATGACAACCCAGAGTTGAGTCCAGGATGCAGAGTCGCAGTCTTACACGCCTCTCTGCTGTCTCCTTGCAGCTGCTACCCACCCAACACTCCCAGTACCCCATAGAGACTGTGTCTGCCCCCCGCCCACCTAAATTATATAAATCAAGAATCAACTCCAGAGGAGTTATTCATAAGAACCTAATTAAAATTAAGACGACTCCTCTTATAGTGGAATGTAATAAAACAATCAAATGTGGACTATTAAATATCAGATCTCTCTCATCTAAATCTCTGTTAGTGAATGATTTGATAAGTGAATATCACATTGGCTTATTGTGTCTTACTGAAACATGGTTACAGCAGGAAGAATATGTCAGCCTAAATGAATCCACCCCACCTAGTCACAGTAACTGTCACATCCCTCGAAACACAGGCCGAGGTGGAGGTGTGGCAGCGATCTTTGACTCAAGCCTATTAATCAACCCTAGACCTAAACATAGCTATAAACTCATTTGAAAGTCTCACCCTGAGTCTCTCACACCCAAACAGGAAAACTCAAAAGCCTTTTCTGTTTGTTATTGTATACCGTCCACCTGCTCCTTATTCAGAGTTTTTAAGTGAATTCTCAGACTTT